CGATACAACTAGTACCTTACTGTTACTTGTACTAGTACATTAACTCTGGTTCGTGTGTCCAGCAGTTGTCATCCCCTGTCTTCGCGGCGCATCCCCCCCCCGCCAACCTGACGATTTTATAAACGCTGCAATTAACTGACTATGTTTCCATATGTCATGTACCGGCCTGATGATGAATGACCGAAGACAATTGTTTGCCAATACGACTTTTCAATCGTAAGATGTGAACTTTCGCAGAATCTGTGAGGGTAGTTGACCGAGGCCAAAATAGGAGCAATGCAACAAAAATCGGTTCTCCCGGGTTGGAGCACCTGTTTCAGGCTTCTGAATTTTCTTCAAAAGACCTCCTTCAGAAAGTACCCTTTGCAAGTGTCTGTTACCACCAAAAGGCATTCATGAAGGCTGTGGCTTATTATCTAGAACTGGGAGAAGGCCTTGCTTGTAGTGCATTTTCTGCATACTCATCATGGTGCGGCAGTTCCTGACCACAAATGTATACGCCACGAGCCGGCGTTTCCTCGGGTTTTGTTGACTGTCTTATTTCACTGAACACATAATCAAGGGACATAAAGGGTTTATATACATTTTCCCAGTACCTTAAATCACAATTTTGGATTACCATCGGCATCCTAGGATGATCATATTCGTGGATGATCATAATCGTGTTTATTTCTTATTCTTATATATCAAAAGTCATCCTTCGGCACCTTTTTTACTACTAATGTCCGTCTAAGATATTCCTTTGTTTTCTAATAACTGAACGCACACTCTAAGTTACCATTCTTCAAAGGAGGCTATTGGCACTGTAGTCCTTATGTGACTTCAGAATTTCCTTCTTACACATTTTAGCGCCGGGGCAGTGAATCACATGCCACAGTGCGCAGAACAACCACGGAAGGCCTTGCAGGTTTATCTGGATGGTGTGAAAGCAAGCGTCACTGTGGAAGCACTGCGGACCTACTTTGCGCAGTTTGGAGAGGTTTTGGATGTGGTCATTCCCCTGCATCTGTCAACGAGGTGCCGGTTAGGATGTGGTCTCATTACACTGTTTCGATCATGCGATACGCAGGTTATTCTTCATACAAAACACATTGTTTCAGGCGTAGGAGTTAACGCTCGGAGGACAGTTACAGGAGGCAGAATGAAGAACGGTGAATCAGTGTCATTTTCAACGAAGTAAGAACGTTCGTTTTCATGAGAACAAATGCAAAATATACAGTTTCACATCTATATCAAAATGTTATGAGAACTGTATGACCTCTTCCTCGCAACATAGGGATATTTTTTACCTATCCTAAAGTAGAATATATCCGGCCATTTAGAAGCATTTTTTTAAAATCACAAGACTGTTGTAGGCGTAATTGCCTACCAAATGGGTACAAGAAAAAAGGTTTTTTGTGTATTTTTTTTTCATAGTATACTTGAATTGATTATATCAGTGAAAATGAATGAGTAAAAATGCATACATACTTATCGCGTATTGGGAAGGCTTAGAAGGTGATTCTAAGGGCTGCAATCTTCCAGGCCTGGTTCCTTAGAAGCTTAGAGAGGAGTCATGGGAAGGCTAAAGAGCTAGGAAGAGTTTATTCTGAACAGAGGAATTGAAGAATAGGTTGTAAGATATTTGACTGTCGGATCACACGTCCTTCTGCTAGAGCTTCGTGGCCCGAAGTGATGTATGGGGCAGATGTTCAAGCGGCCACCCTTAGCTGTCTTTGTTTCATGCAGCCTTAGATGTGATTGGTTGGACCGCGCGAGGTTACTCAGCGGCGCGGGCGTGTTAGCAGATTGCGCTCGGCATTGAGCCAGAGGTGGACAGGGCAGTCATCGCGAATGCAGACTTTGCGTGATGAGTCAAAAACCACGGGTTTCCACCGTGGCCGCTGGCGGCGACTACAAACTCAATAAAAAGCCATTTTTACAGAACATACTCCTTACTGATGGTTCAAAGGAAGCTCCTTCAAAAGCCGGCATCCTGAGTTAACTGAAATTTATTGAGAGTAAGTCGTTTGCTAATCAATATCGCAACCATAACTAATGAACACATTCGAATCGAAAACAGATTTTAGAAATTTGAGTGATATTTGCTGAGTTGAGGTCATTGTGCAATAAGTTATGTCAAGACCCCTTCATATAAATTTATTTATATTTAGAAATAAATTTCTATTTCCCGAAGAACTTATTCAACCCAACTTATATTACTTGGGATGCCCACATTTCAACGCATACATAGACAGTTAAATGCACTTATATTATGATATTCAAGAACTGAATCAATTAATTTCAGGAATCTTGACAAAACCTATTGCACAATGACGGCAATTCGCTCGTCTTTTTGCTCAATAGTAAACAGAGTAAAATAATATTCCTTTCTAAGAGGTGAGGGGTTAGCATCAGAAATGCCTGATAATAATCCTTAAACGAAATGGGTGTAACTGGGAAATTAGCTGGAAAGTGTTTATTCATAAACCGAACAAGAACTATGAGTTGGAAGGAAGAGGTCCAAGCTGATGCTATA